AAAAAAATTGAAGTTCAGGTTTGCATGAAGCTGGATGTCAGCATGCCCAGGAGACTACAGGCTGTCATTGAGGCTAAGGGTTGCCCGACTAAGTATTGATAGTTGTGTAAATACTGTCATACTAACAGCTGTCTGAATATTTTTTGGTTGATTGTAATCTATTACATACCTTTGTATCAAAATTATCTAACATTATCAAGATTAATTTGTTCTGACACAGTTTAACTCTGAGTTCTTGTTATATTTTATTACCATTTTCTAAACTGTAGCGAATAAACTGTGATAATGTGAGAAATGTTGAAGGTGTCTGAATAAATTTTGGTTTGACTGTATCTATTTGATAAATTAAGTTAACCAACTAACATTATACATACTCTTTAAATTTCTGTACCCAATATTTTTAAAAATTTACAAATGCAATAAAAATATCGGTATCGATACTCGGTATCGTCAAGTACCAAAAATAAAAGTATCGTATCGGGCGAGTACTGGAAAAAGTGGTATCGGTGCGTCCCTACCTAAAAGATTCAAAAAAGTAACTGAATAGGGGTGAACGACCAAGCCACATACTAAAATTGTTCTCTAAGTTTGTGAAAGACAGATTGAGTGTGTGAATGTGTCTGCTGACTCCCTCTTTGAGACCAAGGAGACCTCTTTGAGAGCAAGAGGAAAAGAAAGAGCGCTGCAGGAGATTTTTTGCATGGCTCTGCTCCTGCAGAGAGCAGCTATAATGCTGAGAGACACCTGGAGAGAGAAAAGACACCCTGAACGACAGCGCTGTTATCGTCAAGGAGACGAGAGTCTGAGGCCGCACGGCCAAACTCAGTGTCCCCTCAGACATGTGATCCTGACAAAACAACACACTTATGAGCAGATCAGTGTGGAGAGAGAGAGAGAGAGAGAATGAAGGCATGACTGAGTGAGGAAAGAATGTAAGTGGTGGATGCTGGGAGGAATAAAAAACGTCATTTTACATTGAAGATTACATATTCATCCACTCTCCTTAATAGCTGTCTACAAGACAGAAGAGAGAGCTTCACTCCTGCTGGAGCCAAGACTGCACACAAACTCTTTTTTTCCAAACCCTTGACCCTTTTCAAACACAAGAAGGAAGGCAAACAGGAATGAATTTGTCCGCCTTCATCCATTTTGCATCCCTGCTAAGGTTGACAACCGGCCATTATAATACAGAATCATTCTGTATTTAAAGGAAAATAATTGCATTCAATTTTAAATATGACATGCAGTTTGTCCTTTATTTTAGCATCTTGCACCCAATCAACAAAGAGCACTTGTTGCATTTTCTACTGCATCTATTGCATCTATATATTCAGTTTCAAGTTTCAGTGTTAAAAGATAGAAATTGGAATAGAAAGCAAACCAGTAAAGATAGATGTGAAATGATGAGTTCGCTTTTTATGTCAAAGGTACAAAATAAAGCCAATCAATACAACTGTAGTGAATTTCATTGGTATTCACTGGATTTATTTTCATTAAAGTCACCATGAAATTAAAATTGTAAATGCTATTTTTATGCAATATTGGAGTGTTTATTATAAATAATTTATCTGTCAACATCATATATTTTTTTTAAACAAAGTCATATGCTCTCATAATCTTTAATCAAAAACATGCAGTAATAAAGCAAAAGACAATGATCAAAATAATTCTTGGTGGACAAAATCAAGTTCTATCATACAATTTTCTGATTTTCTAATTTTCAGAAGTCATTTCACTTATATATAAAAAAGACAAATCGCAATTCCCTTTTTCATGATGATTTTGAATAATTTTGGCCTCCGTATCACCAGTTGTGGTTGAAGCAAAATTTCACTTGTTTTGTGAATCTGGGTAAAGCTGATGACTTGTTTTTTTAACACAGATTTTGGTCCCACTTTATTTTAGGGACCAATTCTCACTATTAACTAACAATTAACTACAACTTTTTCCTCAATAAACTCCTAATTTGCTTCTTATTAAGAGTTACTAAAGTAGTTGTTAAGTTTAGAGTAGGATCTAAAGGGATCTAAAATATGGCCATGCAGAATAAGGCATTAATATTTGCTTTTTAAGTACTAATAAACAGTCAATAAGCTAGCAATATGCATGCTAATAAGCAACTAATTAATAATGAAATTGGTCTCTAAACTAAAGTGTTGTCCTGATTTTTTTATGTACTCACACAATAATGTTAATTACTTAAAAAAATCTTAGTCTGCATAATGAAGTTGTCTAAATACAAAGCAGTTAATACTTTAATATGTACATGTTGAGATATTTATGTACAGTCTGTTATGGTTGTTTTCTCTAAAGAGCTAAAATGTGCCTAAACAGAAGATAAACTGACATATATGTTATGGAATGTGACACAATTTAAAAATAGTTTAGTTTTACAACAGATGCAATGACTTTGTAAGCCAAAATCAAAGGAATTGCATCTCAAAAGCATTTTTAGCACTTAATTCAGTCAAGCAGAACTGTATACACAGATATAGCTACATGCGTACAGCTGTGACTGTGTTTCATTTCAGTTTATTACATGGTCAGCTTGCCACCAATGCTTTACTGAAATCTTAAGTGCCATATGTGGTATAAAGAAATGGAGAGCATTACTTATTTGCTCTGCTGAAGTTGGCAACCCTATCAACAACCCTTCTCACACTGCGGTCATGGTCGTCTGGGTTTACAGCCGAGGCACGATCTGTTTGCTCATGTAAGAGTTATGTGAATGCAAAAAATGCTAATGTGCCCGTGACATAAGATCACATGGTTTTGACCTCTGAGGCTCCTCATTCGTCCCCTAAATGGTGAAATGACTTCAGAACGCATTGCCAGATGTTCTATTAGTCAGACATATCCTTGACATGGATTCAAGGCTTTGAAAGACTTGCAAGACTGTGGATTTATGAGTCAAAGCATTTTCCGCCCGCAAGTGAGATAAAATATGCTATCGGTTTTAACCGATGTAAAGCAAAGTCTCACACAGTTACAATAACATGAATCGGTGGCTTCACTTCCCTGTGTGCTTCTGTGTGACTGTGAGCTAGATGAAATTATTCTTAACACAGTGTTAAATGACTTGTTTTAAAATCAGCATGTTCCTCACTAAGAACTGCTGATACCAGGGTGATCAGGATGTGCTTGTGCAATACATTGAAAACTGACTTTCAGTTTAGGCCACTAAGTGGTCTATAAGAAAGCTATCTGTTAGCATTCACACTTATCTCAATGTCAGTTGCTCAGCTGGCACAGGCACATGGAAGTACATGATTATAAATCAGCTCATTTTCTCATGGGCTTTTTGATTTATTCTCCTGCTCTGTAAATATCATGTCACTAAACACTCTGGAGGTGCAGGAGAATGACAAAGAATGAAATAAAGAAAAATATATAAATGTATTATTTTATTTTATATAAAATACACTACCATTTCCAAAGATTATTTAGTGTTTGTGAGTCTTATGCAATGTTGTGAAATGTTATTACCATTTTAAATAATTTTCTTTATTTTAATATATTTTAAAATTTTATTTATCCCTGTGATGGCAAAGCTGGATTTTTAGCAGCCATTACTTCAGTCTTCAGTGTCACACGATCTGTCAGAAATAATTTTAATACGTGGATGTGATGCTCAAGGAACATTTCTTATCATTAAAAATGCTGAAAACAGTTGTACTGCTGATCATTTTTGTGGAAACTGTGATGAACTTTTTTGGGATTCTTTACTGTCAATATTGATGAATTTAATTTAATGTTTCCCTGCTGAGGAAAAGTATTAATTTCTTTAAAAAAAAAAAATCTATAAAAATTATTGACCCCAAACTTTGAACATTGTAAATAAGTATTTTAAATGTTACTTACAAAAAAATATTTTTTCAGAATTTACAGCTACCTTTGAGAGGCTGTGAAATAAAAAAACAGCCAAACTTTCCTTGACCATTGATCCTTGCATGTTTATAGCATTTCTTAGCACTGTATTTGCTAACAAAAAAATCCATCCATAACAAAATAACTGCCAGTTGCTGTACTAAACATCTAGTAGTAAACATTTTGAGTGTGCAACAATTTCGATGACACAAGCTTTAAATCTGAATCGCTGTGGACAAGCTCCATGATCTCTGTGTCACTAACCTCCTACACTCAGAGACAGACATACACACATACACAAAGGTGTAAAGTGTGAAAACAGACATTAAAACCTACTGTCACAAAAAAGGGTAACACTTTATAATAAAGTTCAAGTGATATGTTAATATTTTTATCTCTGTTTTGTAGACTAAGTTATAAATCATTTACAAGTGATTAGATAATGATGAACTAATCATTTACAAAAGTGTAAATGACTTTACGTTCACAAATGATTATTAAGTAATATGCTAACGATTTACAAATCTGTCGTAAGTTATCTTTAAAAAATAGCATATCATGAAATAATCAAACAGATCCTTAGTAAATGGTTAACAAGTTACTAGTTAATATATTATTAATCACTTATTGAAATGTCAACATTGTACTATTATCTCACAGCGTTAAAAAGACTCCACGTGTATCAGAGAAGACATCTGTCTATACCTCACCAGTCAGCCCTTGCATTGCAGTACACACTACAAAGTATTCAAAACCTGTTTTGTAAACGCATGAATAAATCATTTACAAAGCTTTCTGCATCCCCTAATCTAAAGTGTAAACTATTCACCACTTGTAAATAGGATCGAGTCAGTTAGAAACACCAAGGGTTCACACAAAACAAGGGGAGTCTGCTTTTAGCTATTACAGAATGCAGCCCGCAGCTGGAACCAGCTTCCAGAAGAGATCAGATGTGCTAAAACATTAGCCACATTTAAATCCAGACTCAAAACTCATCTGTTTAGCTGTGCATTTA